CCGATCCCACTACCCTTTATACTTGGGGAGTGAATCCTACCCCAAGTTATTAACAAATAAAGGTACAAATAGGGAACACGGCAATAATTATCCTCACCAAAAACCTACTCAACTAAATGTACTTGAAAAAGTAAGAACAATTGAAATAAGTGAATCACAAAAGGGAAGATAATTAATTAATTCAATTTATGTTCTAAAGGGAGTAATGACTAGCAAACATGAATTTAAGGGAATAAGTAAGTGTATAATAAAATAAGAGTGATGCCGGAAGGGCGAAAATATACTGTAAGGAGTTAGACCAAACAAATATTACTTAACATTACTATATTACACAGACATACAAAATATATATATATATACAACAATCACTACAAAATGATTATTTCCTACCAAACAGGAGATTCCTTACCACCAGGATCCCTTCCTAGGCCTAAATAAACGTGTCACTAATACCTGATACCCCTAGGGCATTGCAGAAGACTGGATAAAGCACTAGACAAGGGTCAAGGCTAGAGAACGAATGGACACGTCTACCCTATGCCACGGTTTTTCGCTACTGCGGAAGCGTGCCCACGCGGGGAGGAGAGCGTCTCATATCACGTGATTCAGGACATTTGCTGGATATTTTATATAATTAATTAATATTACTCTTGAGTTGACTTAACAGAGTAAGACAATGATGCATATAAATTACATACATAAATATACAATTAACCTAAGTAACTAAGAACAATAATAATATAATAAGTACAATTAACAATTTATTAATAGCTTGTATGAAATGTAGGCGTGAACATATGCCTCACGCTATGCGAGTTCCCGAACGCCACAGGCACGTGACAGTTGTAAATTGAGCTTTGTGTTCTTTAATTTCATTTTTCAAATCATTGATCTCTTCACGTTGTGCGTGTTCACGGAGTGTGTTGGCAGCTACCTGTTGTGTCGGTACGTCTGTGTTGCCCCATACTGATCTTTCGATGACTGCTGGTGATGATCCTGGAGCTTTGGTGGGGAGGGCGGGCCAGGGGTTGGCCGTAGCAGCATTTGTGTTTCTTGAGATCTGCCTGGGTGACGGGTCTGGGTGCTGAAGGGGGTGTAGGAGCTCTAGAACAGTCAGGGTGCCATACAGGAACTCCAACTGTTTTGCAGTTAATACACTTTTGTTGGATGACACCCCCTTGAGCAACTGTATCTCTGCAAACCTGTGTTGCATGTTGCCTTGAGCAGAGACCACACCACGGCTTAGTCGAAGGGCATAACCTGGCCACATGGCCCCAGTGCTGACAATTGTAACACCTCCGGTTAGGGGGCTGATAGAGAGTTACCTTCAGAGTCCGATAGGCACCACGGACTCGAATGGTCTTGGGTGGGTCTTCCGAGCAAACCCAGTCTGCAATGACTGCATTCTTGCCCCTTAGTCGCTTCGTCCTTCTGATGTCGGGATGAGCTTCTAGTAGTGTAGGGGTTTGGTACTGGTCGAGCCCTATGATTAAGATGGTTTTCTTGCTCGATGGTTGGGATGATTATTCCATGGTTATTCCCCTTATGCAATTGGTGAGGAGATCTTGAGTACCGACTCTGAACTGAAACTCAGACTCTGGGTGTTTGTCTTCCGCATCGTTCAGCCAGAGATACTTGTCTTCAGGTGATGTACCGTCAGGGAAGTATAATCTTACTCTCATGGGGGGTTGAGGTTGTAGTTGATGGTCTCTAAGTTTTTCTGCCTTTTCGGCTTTCCGCTTGTTCCTGGACTGAACTAGTTGAAAGCCATCCTCTCCGTTGGT